TCCAATGGTTCTGGGTTTTTCAGAGACTTTCATGTAAGAGAAATAGGCAAGAAAAGAGTGATAGCACCAAGAAGCTTGATGAGATCAGGCAGAACAATTTTCTTCTTTGGAGTTTTCTTGTGGAGCTGAAGCAGACAGAATGGCTAAGACCTCTCTTAACTCTGCAAGAGGTACTGCACAGGTGAGATAGCGCCGTCCTAGTCTCCATTAGCATTTAAGTACTGAACAGATTAATGAAGGTAACGAATTTGAACAGTGTATAGAAATCAGTTTATAAATGACTATTATTTCATCAGTCAGTTAAGTTGTGATGGCCAGATATAACATAGACCTTTCAAATAGGAAACACTTAGAAATTCTACTTACTCATTTGTAAGCCAAAGTGTAAAATCGGGTGTGAATACAATCGGGTGATCACAAATTCTCACCAGGGTTCGTGAGTGTGGCCAGCTAAGCTCCTCATCCCCTGCTTTCAAGAGAACCCTAAACAATAGCCAGGTTTCTGGCTAGTATAAAGGGTATTCTGAATCCTTACTGGCTGGATTCCTCTGGCTAATGACACGTATACTCCCCTCTTCAATTTTTGGGTCTTTTGACTCTCAGTAGTCATCGAATTAGGGACACACGCACACACTTCAGAGGCCCCTTTCCTTCTCTAACCTTCTGGGTTTCATCCAGTTAAATTTGTCAATTGGACAATTTATAGAAAATGTCCCATTTCTGTTCATTTCCCTTTGCACTCCAAATAATCTTAATGACTGTGCCTTTGGCACAAGGTCTCTTGGGGATTTTCTCCCGTTGTGAGCATGCACTATTAGGTGATCAGCTTCACAACTGCGGGGATTAAATGTGATTGTCTAGAAAAGCTTCAGTGATGAATAGTTAAAAGATTTGCTTTGGTGTTTACATTGTCTGACAAAGGTACTCATGTGGAATTGGTTATTTGCTGGCCTCGCCAAATCCACAAAGTGCTACTGCACTCAGAAGAAAATAAAAGGACACTTACTAGGGTTTCTCAGCATCCCTGGACAAGTAGGTCTCATGCGTATCCAGATATCAATCACGTCTCTGTTTATTTTCTGCCTTTTTTACGATGAATGATCCTTGCTGAAATGAGTTAAGAGACAGCTGGTACCAAAAGTAGCACATGTTGAGTATTTTATGTTCTATTTGAAGAAACTGAGGTGCAGAGAGGTAAAGGGCAGCTGGTGGGATTTCCTCAGAGCAGGTATTTAGCAAATATCTGTATAGATTAAACATCAGGGGTTTGTCGCTCACTCAACTTTGAACGTCATACAACGTAGAGATGTATTTTTAAATATATGTACCAAACTTTAATTTTCATTTCACACTCAAAACTTCTGTACAAAAAGAGGCAAAGCAGGCAAAAAAAGAAATTACAATGACTTGAGCAAACAACATATAACAACTTTAAAATAGCTTCGGGTATGCAACAGCCTTTATAGACATAGTGAGAAAATTGGGTTCCGTGATTTTGGACTCTTTTTTTCACATTACTATGGGGGTACAAATAGTTACATAGTTTGCTTTTGTTGGGTTCAGGTCTGAGTTGTAGGTGTGCCTGTTCTTCCCTTGGGAAGTGTATAATATACTCGTGCATTATACCTGTTGGGTGGGAATTTACTCACTCCATTTTCCCTCCCCCTACTTGAGTTTTTTTTCTTTCATGTGACTATGTAGGTGTTAATCTACTAGTTCTAATTTAGTACTGAGCACAAATGCTGTTCTGTTTTTCCATTCTTGTGAATGGATTAATAAATTGTGGTATACATGTAACGTGCAATATTATACAGCCATAAAAAGATGGAGATTTCTCATCTTTTATAACAACTTCATTTTGGAGCCTTGAAGATAAAAATTCCAATGTTTATTATTAACATTTAAAAAAACTGATGGCTGTCCAGGATATGAGATTGAATGAGAAGTTCCTGAATTCTATTGCACAATTAGATCCCAAGATTGAGGAGGCATTTCTTTTGGAAAAGCAGGAAATTATTTTTCCTTAAATGTGATGATGCATCCAAAACCTCAGGTTCCCATTAATCATCTGATGTAATGGTGATGAGTAGGAGAAAATGTTGATGAAGCATGATGTTAACTAACGGTTAAGAGATAATATGCAAACCTTTCTTTCCAGTTGTTAACACTCCAGTGTTACAGGGTTAGCACAACTTAAAATATCCATTTCCACTTGTTTTTTACTACTAGTTCCTAGCGGTACATGAAAGGTTTCTGAGAATAGAGTTATAAAGCCAAAGGAGTAGCAAGGTATCTGAGAAACATAATTTCACTTTGTTGCTTGCCCCCAAATAAATATCTGAATCATGGAAAACACTGTTTATTTAAAAACTATGAGACCTCAAATAAGAAATATAGTTAACACTGACATTGACACTGTCGCTAGCACTTTCCCCTAAACCACCCATAAGTCTTGGACACATGGTGCATGCAGCACAAGAAAAAACAACCCGTGATTGTTTAAGGACTCCTGGTGCCTGGCGGACAATGTGTTAAAAGAATTTGTCTCCCACCATAGTTCTGGAGTGGACCCAAGGTCCATCACCTGTTAGTGATCACAGACATTCAGTTAACTTGTCCTCTCAATAATCAGAGGCAACAATTTCAACCTTGGGCTTTTCAGAATCCATGTACTGCTAAGTCTTGGCCTTGAGACAAGGTGGCCTGATGACACTGAGGTAGGCCAGCGGGCCCTCCTGTATGTTTGGTCCTATTGGATAGAGTGTCTAATTTAAAATTATAAATGTGCTTAACTATTTGCTCTGAGATAAATGTTAATATAATCTGACCGATAATCCCTAACATTTTCTCGCTTAGTCAGCTGAGAGGCAGCTACGGTACAGACACAAGACGTGAGCCTTAAGAGCCCTGTGCTGTTGACAAGCCCTTCCTCTCTTCAAGCCTTCATGTGCTCACTGCTAAGGAGGAAAATGAAACCAATGATGACAAACATCGTGTGCTTCTCCATTTCTTGTCTTGACAATCATTGTTCAAGCAAAACATGTAGCTGCCAAATACACACAGACCATTTCTTAAGCTGAATGTTTGATAACCGCTCACCTGGCACTACCACCTCTTCTAGGTTCTTCTAGGGTTGCGGTTCTCAACCTGCGGGTCACGACCCCTTTGTAACAATGAAAATGCATCCTGCATATCAGGTATTTACATTATGATTCATAACAGTAGCAAAATTACAGTTATGAAGTAACAACGAAAATAATTTCATGGTTGGGGGTCACCACAACGTGAGGAACTGTATTAAAGGGTCACAGCATTAGGAGGCATTAGGTAGGTTGAGAACCACTGCTCTCGAGTGTTAGAATCCCCGGGTTTGCAGACGTTCTGAAGGACACCTAGCATAATCCTGTTCTGATGAGAACCTCCATCCAAGCAGCTCTGCTTGTTGAGCTAGAAAATCTCCAAGGAAAAGTTCCTTTCTCCTCTTTGTTGACTGATGCTTGGACATAGGGCATCTTTCCTGCTACTTGAATACATTTCTTTGTTTTAATAAACCCCAACTCTTTGTTTTCTTGAAAGACCACAGGGAATTGATAGTGGCCACTGAAGTCTAGAAAACAACGGTATCTTAAAGCTCATGCTTCGGGATGGTGCAAATGATGTTCCTGGTTCCAACTTCCAGGATTATCATATACTAATTGTCTGTGTGATGCTTTCCTTCTAGTGAAAACAGGCAGGTAATAACGTAGGCCAACTACAGATTCATGTACGGGGATCAAGTCCCATCCCACAGCAGGTGTTCGCAGGCCACGTGGTAAAGAGTGTGGGGTTAAGGGTGAAACCTCCCGGGTTCTAGTCCCACAGGGAGCTGTCCTATGTGACCACATCCTCTGAGTCTCAGTTTTCCACAGGAGGTCAGAATAGAAAATTTTCAAGATTCTATTCTAAGCTCTGATTTACACTCAGAATTACTGCACATCTTGTTTTACTGTTAATCAACAAGACAGGGTGGGGGGGTGATGCTTACTGGACTATACAGGGTGTCCATAAAGTTCATGTGCAATTTACCATGTTACACTGTTATAAATTGCACGCAAACTTTATGTCCACCCTGTATTTACTAAGGAAGAAGGGTGGAGTCAGTTGCTTCATTGGCTGCTAGCCTACTGGATTGTTGGAAGATTGTCTGTTTTACTTGCCTGTTTTATAGACAAGGAAGCTGAGACTCAGAGAGTACTAAATTGAAGAATTCAAACCAAAGCTTTTACAGTGCAACAATCTAGTAGTGGAGTCAGGGAAGAGCTGCCTTTTAAATACAGGGAACCAGAAAACATGGATTTTCCTTCCTGATCACCCCCATTTGTTATAATTAATGAGGTGCCCTAAACCCATTGAATGGATTCCAGAGAGTGGGGCTCCTGGTAGGAGAGGCCATGCATGCACCGCTCTGCAGGGTCCGGGAAAGTTGGTGAACTTACCCATGATTTCAAAGCCAGAGCTCAATTTCCCTGTCCTTTAAGCAGAGGACTGAAGCAGAGAGACACGGCTGTGCTGTTTCCTGGTTGTACCTACGCCCATTTATCCCCCACCTCCAAGGCAACCACCTTCATCAGCCTGGCTGCAATAGCACACCTATCTACTCCTGCTGCCCCTCCATGAACTGATTGAAATAAAGGTAATTTTCCTCTTGCAAATTTAAAAAGGAATTTAGAGAGGTATAAATCCAGATGGAAAAGGAATATGCTGATTAATCAAACACGTGCACACAGATAAGCTGCACGTGCGGTTTGCAGTCTGCGGACAGAGAGGGTGTGTGCTGAATTCAAAACACTTGGGTTTGCCTCTCTACATGCATTTTTCTGTTCCTGGATTCCTTTCTCCCTCTGTCAGGATAACAGTTGTGTTTCTTGTAGCTGAGCCAACACAGGAAATCAAATATTTTGTGTTTCTATAAACTATACTTCCCAGAGAGATAACACATCTAGAATTAAAACACTACCACAAACTATTAGGAATTTCTGATTGTTATAGGTGTCATTAAAGGACTCCAGTAGCAAAGATCAAAGTCTCCAATTTTGCCTTTGGAGAAGAGGGTTTCCTTTCAGACATCAAAGGTAAGGCTCTCAAGTCAATTTATGCTCTGCTGGGTTGAGTCAGTCAGGATACAGATTAAGGTCCATATATTTCAGTGACAAGAAGGAAACAGTTATGTAAATACGCAAGTATTAACATCAATCTGTATTAAATTATGTAAACATATACATCTTCTGAGGTCAGCACATAGATCCTCCTCTGTGAGCAGAGCTCTACTGAAGCATTGCTCGAATCTGTTTGGAAGTCGATTCATCATTCAAGTGCTTTGTAGTGAACCTGGATGGAGAGAGAATGAGAGCGGTGAGTTGCAAATGCCGCTCTGGGAAAATTTTAATAAACATTTGCTGGCCCATATTTACCTTGGAAAACAATTGATATTTTAAATCAAACTGGGGCTCAATTCTTTAGACAAAGAGACACATTTCAATGCTCATAGCATTCTCAGACAGATTGTATATTTGATTCTTCCTTCCAAAGGAATTTTGTATTAGGGTTAATAAACCAAGTAGTTTTTTTTTTTTTTTAAACCTAATCGAATAATTACACAGAGGAGATAAAACGATGTCCTTTTCTAAAGAGCTAGACTTCACATGACCAAGTGTAGAATCTGGACCACTGAAGCAACCCTGCTGAGTCACAAATTTCAAAATAGGGGTTTGCAAAGCAACATCCTCCCCAAACTGGGATATTTATTGCTCTACTTTCACTGCAACACTTAACTTCCACCACAAGGGGGCACAAATGCAGGTAAACACACCAACCAAAGTCCTGCAATCCGCAGCCTCCCCTTAACCTGGTAGAGAAATCACTTAAGAAAAGGAAGGAAAGGAAATTAACATATAATAAAACCTTAACCATGTCCTAGGTATTGTATGTACATTTCTATCTATCATGCTTATTATCTCTTTGCAGGCAAGGTTATAGCCTTCATTTTACAGATGAGAAAACTGAGATTCAGGAAGGTTAAATGACCCATTCCAGATCACAAAGATAACATTTCAAGATTAGGTTGAACAACTGGCGACTTCTGATTCAAATCTTGATCTGGCTACCTTGGAAGCTTGTGCTCTTCTCACATCATCACAGCGTCTTCAGGAGACACAAATACCAACCACTCTGGGGAGACCCATAACATAACAAAGTGCTTTGGTTGACTGAATTAAGCTGGAATGTTCCCAAAACTTTAGAAATTGAAGTCTTTTTATTGTATGTAGAAAGGCAGCCTGGTATGATATGGATGCCGGTGGTTTACCCCCTGAATATTCACATAAGGGTCTTATGTTAATAATGTATCTGTTTTGAAGGATGATGACTTAGCTGCTCAGCAAAATGGCATCAGCCTCAGTCTCCTTTGTTCATTTCATGTGTGTCTCATTTTCTTCGTTTATCAAATGGAGATGATAGATGAGCCTTGCCTCTCTGAGTGGTGACAGTTGAGACAATGCAATTATACGTGGAGTATCAGACCTGAGTGTTGCACACAGGCAGAGGATTAGTGATCTGTTCCATACACGGCATTGAGGGGAACTGAGGGAAAGCAAACCATGAACGTTCTGCACTACGATCCAGTATTGGAATGATTCACAGAGTGGTATGATTCAACCTATTCTTGTAGATGCGTGATAGTCGAAAAATCAGATTCCCCTTTCTGAAGTGAATTAAACACATGCATCTTGGGGAAGGGAGCAGGTGTGAGGGGATATCTTGTTAGCTGTGACAGGCTGAAACATGCCATAGCTGGCCAAACAGTGGCTTCTCAGTTCTGGATAATGCACATGTGAATCACCTGGGGAACTTTCGTACAAATAAACACACACAAGGAGGCTTCCTGGGCCCCACACTCAGAGATCCTGATTCATTTATCTGGGTCAGAATGTTTTCAGAATCTGCCCATGTAACCTTCATGTGCATTGGGGTTTGAGAACCACTGGTGAAGGGGGTAGGAAGTCACTGATGCCTCTTGTTCTGAGGTATCTCTAGTAACCACAAAAAAAAAAAAACAAACTAATATTTCTGTAGTGCTACAGAGAATTAGGTCCATGACATGCAGGGTCACCCAGCTTGGCTATTTATTGTATGACTTCTGACAAGTTATTTGACTTCTCTAAATCTCCGTTTTATCCTTCTGTAGAAAAAGGGTGATAAAAATGGGGCTGACCTCAACAGGTGATGAGGTCATATGCGTTATGAGGTTAAAATACACAAAAGATAAAGCCTGGTTTCCCCCCTTGATCCCCAATGTATGCACATTCGCAATAGCCCTGTGGGGTTGACTGCCCCATGCTCATGTCTACTGCAAAGCTGAAGCTCACCTGAGGGCATTCAGCAGCCCCTCCACACTGTCTGGGGCCTGTTCCTTCAAAACCTTTATGCAGCCTTTCATCTAGAGGAAGAAAGCACATGTTCTATTAATACCTTAGTAATATTGTACATACTAATATCTCTCTGTAATGACACCCGTCTGTAATGACAGCACATTATTTCTGCCCATAGAAGTCAAACACAGAAATGATCAACTGGTTTTCCTCCCCTCTTAGGAGAATGGAGACTGAAGACCCTATTCTTGGCAAGGGAAAGCAACCCCAGATAAAGAGAAAAATTAAAAAGTAAGCTGAGTGAGTCAGAACAAAGCAAAGTCAGCTAGTTTACATTTAAGCTGGCCATTGCTAGCAAGCTTCCTGCCTTTTCTGAAATTCTATCCTGTTGGGGAGATAGCTTACAAACACCCTGCTGGCTCTGTGAGCACTCTGAGGAAAATAATGGCCATAGAAGAGACTGTGGCAATTCCTAGAAAAAGATACCTCTTCTAGGGTGTTTCCTGCCCCTTAAGCAGGCAAAGCAGATGATACCCATTGTGGAGATTGGCATTTGCTTGGAACAGAGATCAAGGGAGTAGCTCGAGCCCTGAGACACGGGCAGAAGAGCTTATATCCCTTCGCAGAGGAAGATCCTCTGTGGTGGTGATGGAAGGAAATGCCTCCCTCCCACCAATTCCTCAGAGGAAGTTAAGACTGGTGGTGGTGGCTTTTCATTCCACAGAGAAGTAGTGGAGTTTAACACTTCCCAAGAAATCTGTGTGTGTGATCTCAAGTAGAAGGCTATCCCAATACAAGGCTCAGATTTCAGATTCCCCTAAGGTTAATAACAATAATGGGAGCCGGTATGCTTAATCAGAGAATCTGCTGGCATCTTTGTTTCCTCCCTTATCTTAAACTCTGGCCAAATAAATAAACTCCAGACTTCAATAAAATCAGAGTGGAGCAAACACTCTGGGCCATTGCTAGAATCCCCAACGGGCAATGGACTCCTGAGCTCCCACTTTCAATTCTACTCTGTCTCAAGTCTCTTTCTTTACCTTTGCTTCTAACTCTATATTTTTTCAGTCAATTGCCACCAGTTTCCACAGGTCGTAGAGGACCCTGCTCCTGGGTGAGACCCCGAAACTACCCTTCAAGTTGGTAAGTTGCTCCTTTGGGCTTCTAGAGGGTATGGTCACAAGCATAATACTTTCCATACTGTGCTGCAATTGTATATTTTACTTGCTAAGCATTTAAGGACAATGACTCAAGGCTTTATTCTTGTCTTGTTCTCCAGAGTCAAGAACAGAACTTTCCCACTACTCAGTGCCCAGTGGAGATTTACTGAATGTATTACGAAACCACTGTGATCTTTCTGCCCAGAATGCATTTGGTCCTTCACCTGTTTGACTGAAAAACTATTTATTTTAGGAATTAGCTGAAGATCGGCAACTTTAGAAAGCCCTTTCTGACCTCACATCTCTCTCTAGGTAGAAGTAACAAATACCTCTGTGTTCTTAATACTACTCCAGAATTTATCAGAGAACCTTGGGGAGGTGAGTGCCCCAGTTGATTTGTCTACCTCCCTAGACCAGGAGCTCTAGAGGTTTAGGTTCATGTCATAACCATTTTGGAGAGGACCGGTAAAGAGCAATTATAAAGAATGTGAACCTCGACTTGGTGCCTGTAGCTCAGCAGCTAGGGTGCCAGATACATACAGTAGAACTGGTGGGTTGGAATGTAGCCTGGGTCTGACAAAAAATAATGACAACTATAACCAAAAAACAGCCAGGCATTGTGGTGGGTGCTTGTAGTCCCAGCTACTTGGGAGGCCGAGACAAAAGAATTGCTTAAGCTCAAGAGTTTGAGGTTGCTGTGAGCTGTGATGGCATGGTACTCTATCCAGGGTGACATAGTGAGACTCTGTCTCAAACAAAAAAAAAAAAAAAAAGAATGTGAACCTCATGGAGGCTAAATGCCAGGGTTTCATCCATGCTTGCTTGTTTAGTATCTGCATGAACCTAGTCAAGTTTTTAACTTTTTGTGCCCTTGGAATACAACTTACTCATAGTTTGGGAATGTCTGAAAACTGAATGTATAGAGATCATATTATATTATGCATATCTTGTAGTTTTGGGCAAGGCAAGAAACTTTCTGCAAAGAAGACAATCATTCATTTCAAATTCAGATTTTCACATACCATATGTACTAGGTCTGGTTATATTAAGTGCCTCTCTTATAATTATCACTTAGAAACAATTTCTGTGTATACTTCTACTGTGTCAAAAGTTTTATCCAAAATGCCCAAGAGATACATTGATGGAGGCAGTGAGGGCATAGGGTTGAGAATCATTTGGGGGTCACATACAGGCTAGTCAAGAAAGGATGTCAAGGCCAATGAGAAATGTCATCATAGGAACTGGATTGGGAGAGGCCACAGTGTCCCAGATACACGCCACCCCAGGCATAGGATGCAGAGATTTTTGTCCCTCTCTCACAGTTCATTATCACAATGTAAAAAGTGTTCTTATAAATCTGGTTAAGGGCAGTGAGAACACAGATGTGGATTGGGGTGGAAGAGCGAGCAATAGGTACAGTTTAGGAATTTCTAGTTCCACTCCGGGATGATTAAAGCCATAGGCATGAATAAGGAGATGCAGTCAGGGATGCTGTCAGGGCTAGACTCAGCGTGGGTTTAACTCAGTGGGTGGAACAGCATGTCAGAGGTCAGAAAACTCACTTGGTAGCTGTCAAACAATCTAGTGACCTGGCTCATAAAAAGGGCCCAGAAGGAAGCAAGAACAGAGAGGAAGACGAGTGAAAACCCTGTGAGTGGGAGCCAGGGAGGCACAGGGGCCTAGGAGGCAGTGTGAGATGGGGCTAAGCTGAGGGTGACTCTATAGGGCTTGGGGACCCTAAGTTACAGGGGCAAAGACAAAAACAAAAACAAAAAAACCCAAAAAACAAAAAACAATCATTCGGTTCCTAGCGACAGTTCTGGGCTCTGGCTTAGAAACTGGATGAGAGGATGGTGAACACCTGAGACAGAAACCCAGGACAAGGGCCAGCTTTGTAGGGAAAGGAGAACCTTGGTTTGGGGCTGGCCATATTTCAGGTGTCCACAGGAAGTGGGGTCTGGAGTTCTGATGCAGAGTTTTAGGATTAAATCCTTATTGGGTCATTTCATAAGACTCTAAGGAAATCTTTTGGAAACACTGTCTCCCCATAACCTTCCTTTGCTGGCCCCTAAGACTAACGTCTATTCTCTTACTGGCTCATACCCCCTGGGCTTGACTGACTGCTTGGATGATCCCCTCAGCCTGGAGTACCCTTCGTTCCCTCTGTCCATTTGGGAAAATCCTGCACCTTCTTCAAAGTCCACCTCAAACCTCACCCACTGTGCCTGCTTCTCAGCAGCCTGACTTTCTTCCCCCCCTGGGTTTCCAGAGCTCACTGCTTGTCTGTTCCGCACTCCACGGGGTGCTCTGCATACACACACACAGTGCCTCCTCCAGGCCTCACACAGACACATGTGTCTTCACAGTTGGTGCTGATGCCCCTAATATTTATCAACCCACTGCCTATAACTGCTGGCGTAGAAGCAAACTGGTATCTGGAGAGAGTCCTTTTACATAAAAAATAATGGCCCATCTCACGTATGTTCTGCGCTTGGTATAAGCCCGAAACTTTCTTAGAGGCACCTGCAAACTTCAGTGTGAACAAACCTTTCTTAGTGAGACCTGAATGAACAAAAACAGACTTCATCAAGACTATGTGCAAAGATTTAACATGATAAACTGTTTACGACCTCAACCGAAAGACTCAGCAAATGACATGTAAAGTCAAGCTTGTTAAAGGTTGAGGTTACAAGGCATAATTGTACCCAGTGTATTTTTAATTGCTGACTCTGTGACAAGTTAACATATGGCTATGGTAAATGAGAATTTCTTATGACTGCCAGGTAATAAACTCAATCAATATTCAAACAATATTTATAGTTATTCACAGAGTCATTTTTACTCAGTCTATAGTATGAAAGTGTTAAAGCCTCACAAAGGATACAATAAAGATATTTATTGGTATGAAAATATGCCTATAATGTATTGTTATGTAAATGAAGTATGTTTCAAAATAATATGCATAGCAGGGCCCTAATTTGTTAGTCACAATTACACACACATCCACACAAGCATCTAAAATAAAAAGAAGGCACATATATATGTCGACATAATAACAGGGTTTACCTATGTACTGTGAAGTTATTAAGGTTTAATTTTCTACCTCTATGTGTATTTTTAAGAGACAGAGTCTCTATCACCCAGGCTGGAGTGCAGTGGCACAGTCACAGCTCACTGCAGCCTCCCCCTGCGGGGCTCTAGTGATCCTGCCTCAGCTTTCCAAGTAGCTGGGGCTACAGGCATGTGTTACCATGCCTGGCTACATTTTTAAAATTTTTTATAGAGATGGTGTCTCAGTATACTGTCTAGGCTAATATCAAACTCTTGGCCTCTCAAACTTCTGGGATTATAAAGCATGAGCCACCACACTTGGCCAATTTCCTATATTTTGATTTCCTACATTTCATAATATTTTTATAATAAATATGTACTTTCTTGGTAAATAGAAATAATCACATTAAGAAATCATGATGATTCTATGAAGAACCATGCCTTGCTATGCCAGAAATTCAGAACCTCCAAATGAGGAATCTGAGCTGCATTTTTCACTGGTAAAGCTTCCTGCATTCTTCAGAGTTACACGCTCCCCTTCCCCCTCGTCACATGGACTCTTTTGAACAGTACTACAGCATCAGGACACCATTCTGTGCAGATAAGTGGATGCAGAGTGTGTCACCCAGATGTAGCTATGTCAGAATAAATTAGCACCACAAGGTCCTATACTGTGCTTAAAATGTTTTAAGTTATCACATGGGGGCCACTAGCAGGTTGGTGCTACAGGTACATTCTGGGCTGACAGAAGGTTTGCTTGTCCCACAGTCAACAGGAAAGCAGCTGTGCACTAAGATTATGAGTTTTCCAGTTATCTTCTTTCATTCATTCATTCATTCATTCATTCACTCAGTCAAAACTCTACAGAGCATCTATTGGGTGTCATGCACTGTGTGCCAGGCAGCAGGTCAGATATGAGGTGTAGACAGCCATTGTCTCCATCCTTGTCAAAAAATATAGTCTGGGGACCAGAGGAGCAGAAGGCTGAACACATGCAGGAAATGTGTTCCTAGAACACATCTGAAGAGAGTCTGAAAGGAACCCAGCCTTCCAAGAGGACGAGGAAGGGCACTCTGGGCAGGGGAAAGGACTCACAGAGAGTCAGCTGACAGGGAAAGGCATGGGCACTGGTCCTGCAGCTGGAGGGGAGTGGCAAGTCAGAAGATCATGTGGGATTGGACCATGGTGTGATCCGGTATCTCCCAACTCTTTTCACCTTCAGACACATGTCATGAAGAAACGACCTATTTGTATAGCACACTGGGTAAGGGAAGGGCAGCCTGCAGCTACGTGACCATTCATGTACTGTGCTCCCCCAGAGCTGCAGGGGGTCTGCAGCACCACTGCATCCCTGCTATGCTTCTGAGGCTGGACGTTCTGTCCTAAGCAAAGCCTGGACATCTTGCTCTAAGGAAAGCTGCCACCATGGGCTCTGCATCCTGGAGAGATCCTGCTCTGCAGGGGACGGAGGCCAGAGGGAGAGAAGCAGGGGCTGTCTGGCAACGTTTGTGTGCTCCTATCAGGAAAGCGCACTGCGCAGCTATTCTTACGTCGATCTTGGAGGTCTTGCAGAAAGCTCCGACAGGGTGGACGTGGTCGTAGAGGATGATGACCCCCACCATCACCCGCATGCAGAACATCAGCGTCTCCTCGCTCGTGAACCTGCTCCTGTACTCCCTGGAAGACACGACAGGGCGCGGGGTCACCCCCTTGTCAGAGCACGTGCATTTCCAGCCCTTCACAACCGACTGCTTCACACACGCCTAGTTCTCTCTTGAGAACAATTCCAGACCTGCAACAACCAGTTAACACGCTCTTGAAGAAATCTATGGTGATAATTCTCCTTGCATCCATTCACCCAGCAGTTCAGGGTGGAAATCGGGGAAATTAAAGGGCAGTCAATTCTCTCCCCTCCGCCCTTCAGTGGGCTAGCTCATCCTGTACATCACTCCCCGCCCATCAATCTCGAATGTTTTATAGCACGTCTCTCTGGCTGTCCAAGATTATAGAGAGTAATGGCTTCATTACAGAGAAAAAGAATCAGGCTCATTTCTACAGCGCGGCTATCATGTCACTGGTCAGAGGAACTTCCTTTGTTAAGATCCAGGCTGCAGATTGAATTGGATTGGCAAAGATACCTAAAAGAAATTATGGACCATTCACTGAGCTGAGAGTATTTGTTAAGTCTCAATCTTGTTCACTTACCTTGATAGGGACCCGGATGATTCTGATAATTCAGTCCAATTCTAGAGGCTTTCTTAGTATCTATTTCATTATGAACTGGCCCCACTATGACGATGACTATGCTTTCTTCCTTGGACTAAATCTTAGCTTTGATATAAGTGAAATATTTGAAATTAATACCATCTTACATTTGAAGAGAGCATCAAATTTTATAAGGCACTCTTGATGCCTTGGGCTTTCCCAAACACACTGTAAAGTAAATGGCATTATGGGAACTTCATTAGACAGGAAACCAAAGCACAGGAGGTCAGGCTGGTGTTGGCAGGCACGGTAGGGGCTCCAGACATGGTGGAATCTGGAATTCTGAGTGCAGACTTCCCCCTAACAACACTGCTGCATCCCCAATGAGCTCAACTGTTTTTAAACCTAGCAACTAGTAACTAGTTTAGGTACCAGGAAATGGGAAAGAAAGGGGAGGGGAGAGAAAGAGAGTCCTCTTACCACCTCTATACTCTTGGTCATCAATCCTCTCTAAAATCTTCTTTTTCTTTTTTTTTTGAGACAGAGCCTCAAGCTATCCCCCTGAGTAGAGTGCTGTGGCATCACAGCTCACAGCAACCTCCAACTCCTGGGCTCAAGCGAGTCTCCTGCCTCAGCCTCCCAAGTAGCTGGGACCACAGGTGCCCACCACAATGCCTAGCAATTTTTTTTGGTTGCAGCCGGCATTGTTTGTTTGGTGGGCCCGGCATTTGTTTGTTTGGTGGATTCGAACCTGCCACCTTAGGTGTATGTGGCTGGCACCTTAACCACTTGAGCCACAGGCGCAGAGCCTAAAATCTTCTTTCCAATGTATTTCTCACGAGAACCCCATCACTTAGTGTACTTTACCATTTGCTCCTTGCACATTTCCTATAATATCTTTGATTCAAGTCTTGTTTCAAACAAGCTATGCAATCTTTGAGCAGTCAGTTGACTAGTTTGAGCCTCAGCTTCTTCAGGTAGAAAATGGGGATAATGACAACTGGCACCTAGAAATCGTTTGAAGTTAAGGCAGATACTATACATGTCAACTTCAGGGTGCCGATCCAATGGCACACATCGTCTTCAGCACCATCATCATCACCATCTTAACAGACCCTGGCTGGGCGAGCTCTCAACCACGAATACCCGTCTGATGTGACTTACGGAGTTTCCAGCATGACTTTACAGACACTCGTCATGGTGCTGAGGCAGTCTGTGGTGTTCTCTATTGGCAGGGTTTTGTTCTAAATGGGAGACACAAAATGCATGTTAGCCCTGCTAGCGGCTTTTTGTGCATTTAAACGAAAAAAGCACCCCACTGCCCAACTTCACTTACTTCGGAGACAAAGTGCATTGTGGCATTGCTAAGGGTTTTTAGCATCGGGGTGGCTTCCGCGTAGAAGAGGGACATACGATTGGCCATCTCATTATTGACTTCATTCTCAATGTCTAGCTGATGAAAAGAAGAAGAGAAGGGGCAATTATAAAGAGAAAATCAAAATTCTCAATTCCTCTCCTCTGGAAATCAAGTTACAGACAAGGACTTGGTCTTCTCTCTGTGTGCTGGCTGAGGCAGAAATCACAAAAGCCACAAGAAGGGTGCCAAGGGCGAGGAGACCCAGGGACTCACATGCATGTTGTTGATGCGGTTACGACTGATCGTCCTTCTGTAGTAGCTGAAGTCATTCTGAATAGCTGGGTTCCTCATCTGGAAGTCAGGAGAGAGAAAAGACCACGTGTTACAAGCCCAGATTCTAGATTTTGTAACTATGTCACCATTCTCTTTGTTACACGGAAGACAAAGCAACTTCTGGTTAAAAATCAGACCCACAGCTCCATTATTTTATAAAATGCCCTGTTTTTACCATGGGCTGGGTTTCAGGGAAAGTACATTTGTTCTCAATGAGGCAGACCCTTGAAAAGGTTTTCTCTGATTTCATTTGGCAGATTTTGTATTTCCATACACAAATCATTATCTTAAAGTACTTTCCCCACATGGAATGCAGATTCTCACATGCCATATACCCTGCTAGGGAAGGAGCTGCCTCTTACTCCTTTCTCTGTCCCCCACAGCACTGACAGGGTAGTCGCAAACAGGAGGGACTGGATAGAAGGTCATTGAATTTTCACAGCACATCCCGCCTAACCTTCAACTCATCGAATCGCAGGGTAAAATGTAAAATTTCTGCGAACTCCTTTGCCAGGGCCTGCTCCCGTTCCAGGTGTTGGGTTGGCGTGTAGGGCGGACAGGTCAGAGATTCCAATAAACTCTGAAGAGCTTTTTCTGAAAGTCAAAAGGATAAAGAGACACCCTGGAGATGACCAGAAGATCCTTCAGAAAGGACGATTCTCAGCTCAGTGGATAAATCTCACAGGCAACCCGCTTGGTCTTTCCTCCCCATGTTTTACCTGGTAAGTGTGCGAGACTTTGCTGCCTGTGGATAAGGAAGAGAGGAATCCCAACTGTCTGACCAGGCTGCCTCCCGGGGAACCCCCCTGCCACAGTGTTTGATAAATGCCTCTCTGAGCTCAGTAGAGGCCTAACATATTTAGTATTCCCAATTCCTGACACTGTCAGAAAACCACACATATGTGGTTTGGGATCATGTGTAAGAGATAGCCCTTCAAGACACAGGATGGGATGGGAGAGCAGCCCTTCACAAGTGGCTTAGATCACCTGTTTGCAGGGAAAGACTTCTGATTGTTATTTTAGCTTTTCTCTGCATCTACGCCAGGCATCCTTAACCTGCGGCCCGCGGGCCACATGTGGCCCGCCTAAGACATTTATCTGGCCCGCTGGGTGTTTTTGCTGATGCTGCCTGCCTTGCTTAGCAGCCGACTTGTCCCGGGGCCCGCAGTCCAGCTCTCCAACGGTCTGAGGGACAGTGAACTGGCCCTCTGTTTACAAAGTTTGAGGACCCCTGATCTATGTTCTAACCTCATCTCAGAAATATTTTTCTACAAACCTACTGCCATATTTATCTCTATTATTATAATTGCACAGTTTCACTATTCCCACTTATTTCTTTCTAAATATTCCCCATAGTTTCTAATTCAATATATTTTAAACAGCACAACATCATTTCACCAGTCTCTATAGCAGGATTTGGAAAAGGATGGCCCAAGCCTGGCCCACCACTTATTTCTATAAATTAGGTTTTACTAAAACATGGACATACCCATTCCTTATGTGTTGACTACGGCTACTTCTGTGCTACAGTGGCAGAGTTTAATAGTGGGGAAAAAGACAGGACAGCTAGCAAGTCTATTATCTACGCTCTGTACTTTCCAGGGACGTTTGCTGACATCCACTCTTCATAGCTCTTACACGCCCTTTACAGCACCTTTACAAGGGACGTTGTCTCCAGCCATTTTACAATATTTCCATCCATGGAAACACACTGTCTTCTGAGGCAGGCAGGGCTACCTTGGCCTTCTTGGACTGATGAAATTTTTTTCCTTTTGTTGAACTAAAATTTGGCTCTTTAGGGTTCCAGTTCATTGGGTCTAGAGATACCCTTTGAGGAAACGCAGAGAGAAGTGAGTTGGTCCTGCTCCTACCTGAGAATCTGCAGAAGCCCACTCTGCTGGAAAAACTGGTTTGGTTCATTCAGTGATGTGTCTTGCTCTCTGCGTCTAGTCCTTTCAACATCATGGTCACTATTCTTCAAAGCTGTTCAGAGTCTTTGTTTTCCTCTTAAATGGTGGCACTCATTTTATAGCCAAAGTACAGCAGAGCAGGGCCTCTGCCTTCCCCCTTTGAGATGCAAGATTTCAACTCGTGACAGCTTGTTTAGGGGACAGTGACTGAATCATATAGCTGGTTATACCCAATGTATTGCCAGACAGACTTGGCCTTAGTCTTGCTTCTACAAAAGCACCCTGTACCTGTACAGTTTGGATTGTTTTTAAGCTTAAGGAAAGACTATCCTGTACTTTACCATATTAAATGCATCACCTGACTCCCATCATCCAGGTTCTCTTTAGGTTGGCAGGTAACCCATACCTCCTGACTTCTCTGCTAATCAGAAGCGATCCGCCTCCAGTAAAACTATTAAGAGTCGAACACAGATGAGAACAACACCAAAGGCGCACCCACCAGTAGAGACGCTCTACATGTGCCGCTAACTTCAGGGGAAGGAACTCCATGGTAGATTGAAATGAAGGAAAGTGACATGAGCTGTCCGGGAATGGCCTCTTAGTCACCGTGGGGGGACGTGTGGCTTTTCCCGATATGCCGAGCTCTTCCTGCTTCCTTCTCAAACTCCACCACGGAACTTCCCACGGGAGACATGAAAACGACAAACACACACTTACCTAGTCTTATGGAGAACTCATAAAATCTCTTTAGCCTCACAACTAGAGGGCACACGGCATTCCAAGCTTTTTCTTGAAGTTGAATATCGTTGGGGTTTTGAATGGCCTATGAAAAACAGAATTAAAACTGTTTAAAAAGAAGCACATCAAAATGCTTTTATATCGAGAAAAAAATTAGTTAAAAATACAATCCCCGTTGTATTTTGCTAATCTGTACTACTTAAATCGACATCAGTTCACTGGACAGTCCCCCAACATGCTCATTTTGAATGAAAGTTTTAGCCCTTGAACACAAACAAATGGCTGTGCATTTAGAGCCTGTGCCATCTTACTTTGTTTGTTATCTTGAAGACAAAAAAGTGCACCTTAAACTGGAACAAACTCAGCCCTCACCATCACCATTTGATTCTTCTAAAGTAGAGTCAGTGCTCATTACAAATGTCAAAATGTAGATATTTTTCTTCCTGTAATGTGCATTACATTCCTGCCAGTCTATAACACCTACTAGATTACCCAAATTAACTGGGGACCCATCGGTAGAGAAACCACCTCTTTAGAGACTGCTGCTTTCTTAGAAATGCTGTCTGATCTGGGTTTCAGCAGCTTCAGGGTCATGACACAGTGGTGTTCTTTTCAGAAGGATGGGGCACTGCAGTAGCGTGTGTATGTGTGTGCATGCATGTGTGTATGCACACATGTGTGTGTTATTTCCACGGAGCTGATGCTTTCAAATAAAAGGAGTGTGAAGTTTCTGTCTTTTAAGAGATTATGAAGTCTCAAAAGTCAAATCGATGATTTTCCTTTTGGTTTTGGTGATTGCTTTGCTTTTCATTTATTTTTTTTAAATCTCAAGAGACATCTGAGATGACAGACCTGCAGTCTACTGAGAGCAAGGTGGTTTTTGGTCATTGTGTGACACTGGTGGGACCTGCCAAAGGCATTACAAAATGTTGGAAAATACATGTCAACCCAGACTTGTTGATTCATGCTTCAACTGGTGTTCATAGACTTTAAAAGTACATTTCCCTTAAATAAAGTAATGTCCCAACACATCATTGTTTAAATGTGAGACCTGTAATATCAAATGCATGTCTGAGAAGAAAATGACTAATATTTAACATGATCTCCAGCACTATGTGCTCAGATTCATGCCCTAGAATAAAAGGGGCCATTCATGCCTTTTTTTAAGGACACATTACCCTCCTTGTTCTTCCCAGAACTCTAGGAAATACTGGAGCTATTACTTAATCTTGCTGTGTGTGTGCATGTGTGGTTTCCCTCCCCCTCCCAGGGTGCTGTCAGCTCGGTATTATCATTGGCATACTTCTCGGATCTCTGGCCCTGCGCCTTTGTAAGCCTGCAGATCTGCAAGGATGCTCTCGGAGTCCTGAAGGACAGCGCTGATCTGGTTCCAGATTTCTCTCTCTCCTTCTGTAGGCTGGGCATCTAGACAGCAGAGAAACCAAGAGACCCAGAGGGCTGGTGTTTACAGACAGGTTAGGAATAGGACGAGCAATCAGCTCTCACCAGTTCACAGTCCCACCTTATTCCCACAGATTTGGTATTCACTCTTTAATCTAATAAGCTGCTAGGAAGGGAAAACTAACACAACTTCTGCCCATAACTCAGTTCGAAATATTCAACAATCTTTCCATGCACATTAAAACAAGCATGCTGGATTACTGTAGGCACTCCTTTATTTATTTATGTAGAACGCATTTTTTGCACACCTGCTATGGGTAAAGCACAATACTGGGTAACAAAAAGAATAAACATTATTGTTTGGGGGGTCTGCATTTTTTGTCTTTCTATTTCTTTAGAATATTGACATTTCTATTGTAGTAAAATATGCACACCATGAAATTTACCATCATAATCATGGTTCAGTATACAGTTTAGTGATATTCAATATTCATAATGGTGTACAACCATCATCACCATCCTTCTCCAAAGTTCTGAATCTGATAAAACTAAAATACTGGATTAGATTTGCTCTTTTTTTTAAAAAAAATCTAATGCTATACTTTATTTAATCCAATGTTTGTAAAAATGTTATCATTTCAACAAATAATCAACATGGGTCTGTTTTTAATAGAAGTGACTAAGTATTTTTGTTATGATCAAAAATTTGTGACTCTGAGTATAGGCAGGAAAAACAGTTCCCCTCATGTTTCTATATAAAAATACAAGCTCAAGGCTCAGTGCCCATAGCACAGTGGTTACGGCGTCAGCCACATACACCAAGGGTGGCGAGTTCAAACTTGCCCAGGACAGCTAAACAACAATGGCAACTGTAACCAAAAATAGCTGGGCATTGTGGTGGGTTCCTGTAGTCCCAGCTACTTGGGAGGCTGAGGCAAAAGAATCACTTAAGCCCAAGAGTTTGAAGTTGCTGTGAGCTGTGACACCACATCACTCTACCAAGGGCAACAGCTTGAGACTCTGTCAAAAAAAAAAAATATACAGGCTTAAAAATGAGATAATTAACCCTTCAGAACCAAGACAGAGGCATATCCTTCATGAACACATGGGTGTGTAGAAAGCCCTGAGATTTCTCATTGAACATGATTTCATGCTCAAGAGTTTTTGCAAAGACATGCAGGGACTTCATTCTAACCATACCTCTTCTGTTTATCTTTGGTCTTGACTGTGACAATTACCCACAAAAACAAGTGACACATTCAAGCTTAAATAAATGAAGACCCAGAAGCACCTTTTAGCTCTTTTGTGAATTCTCACTTGATTCTCTAGCCCCAGTATGTATTCTTACACTCAGGAGCATTCATGAGGACAAGTGGGTGGAGAGAGAGAGGTGGTAAAAACTGGGTTTATTTATCTCACAATTCCTATAAAACAGGTTAATTGTCTGGGCTAGAAAGGAAGTTCATCTCTGTGTCTAAAATGAAGACTCATGGAGATGTCATCTCATAAAACTCTGCTTTCAAACACTCAAGTCCTAAGGCGCTGAATGCTCTCAGCAGACTTAGCTAATGTGTGTGGGCGAGGAAAGCGTTTAGACTCCCCAGATCACATCCCTGTTTGGACTAATCTTTCTCACAGTACAAAGGACTGATCTCCCCAAAGAGAAGTCATTGGCTGGTGTTATTTTGGGGGCAGAAAAGATAGAATCCAGGAGACAAGCGTTTGGCAAGAGAATGCTGCTGCACTGACCCAGCGTTCAGAGAGGTCAGAATCAGAGGGGGCTAAGTGGCAGGCTCTAGTCACCCTGTGCTGCATGGAAATGCCCCACAGCTGGACCTTTGAGGGTGACACCCAGGGAAGTTATCAGACTAGATTCCTCATCATGCTATCCTAGCTAACACCTAAGAAACTGGTAGAATTTCTTAGGCAATGAATGGTGAAATTCATCATTGCATGGTAACTCTCTTAAAAAAAAAAAAAAGGAACATCATAGGCCCTCATAGGTTATCAAGAATATTTGCAAACTATGCCTTTAAAGAATCAGACAATTTCACCTAGGAACTAGGGAGGCACAAAAGGGTGTGTCCATTAGGATTCAGACAAGGAGCAGGTGAGGGTGGTCTAAGTTATATGTAAGAGATGGGACTTGAGCTGGGCTGATGGGAGGAGGAAGGAAGCATGCCCAGGAAGAAAGGACAGCACAGAAAAGGCTGGGCCAGGAAGAGGAAAAGAGACCTGCCAAGCTGGAAAACAGTCTGCTGGGAGACTGGAGGGGAAAAGACATTCATTATATACTGAGCACCCCCAATCCAAAAATCTGAAATCCAGAATGCTGCAAAACCTGGAACTTTCTGAGCACTGACAAAACACTCAAAAGAAGTGCTCATTGGAGTTATTTCAAACTTCAGATTTTTGGATTTGGCATGCTCAATTGGTAAGCATAATGCAAATTTTGCAAAATCTGATAAAATTCATAATCCCAAATAATATCTATTTCCCTATATTCCTATTTTTGGTCCTAGGTATTTTCATAAGGGATACTCACTCTGCACTCCTGTACCTTTTTTGTACCCATTCATTGCCTCCCACAAACATTTGGTGAAGTTTCTCAGGATATTCACAATACTAATCACTTTATACCTTATCTTTTCCAAACTCTTCTCCAAGTGATACAGGTGTCGTCATCCCATAAGTTTGGGAAGGCTGTAACTGGAGGTGCTGCAGTACAACAGAATTCCAGCAGGGCTGGCAGTTACTGAGTAGGAAAAGTGTCAGGAAAGTAAACAAAAGAAAGAAAGAAAAAAGCAAGGCAAAGATCCTAGAAAAATAACAATCAAATGCTCATTAGCTCAAATTCTTTTCCCTTTCGATGGATGTATCAAAAAGTCACAACCTAAACAAAGACAGTCTCCTAAAGAAACAAGCATTTGGAGAAGAAAAGCAAGATAGAGTCTGTGGCCAAGGTTCCAAGGGTTAAGACCACTTGAAGGGATTTGTAAACTAGTGGGTGAAAAGGCAAGGCATTGGAAGGAAGGCCAGGAAAGGAAGCTGTCTAATCTTGACTGTCACCTGGCTCCAGCTTAGCAGGTCACCACTTGATACATTTTAGACAAAAAAGAGTTAAAACTAAGTGGACTACCAGGGAGAGCTAGAAAAACAAACAAAAAGTCTGTGAATGGTGCTTAAACCCAACAGGAGAAAGATCTCAAGTCAGTTTTTAGAACAGAGGCCATTCCTGAGTGCTGCAGAAATGAGATTGTTTCTGCCTCGGTGGCCTAAAAGTGGTGCTGGGGCTAGAGTAAGACAAGCTCTGTCCCCATCCTAGGCCAAGGGACACTTCTAGTATAAATCAACAGTGACAGTTATATGACCACGGAGACTAGGACAAGAAATTTGGGACTGGTGCCACTTCCCTCCTGGAGCAGACAGACTAGGGGCTACAGTGAAGGGATGACAGCACTTCTGTGCTGCCAGCTGGGGTCATCTGTGAGACAGGACCCTCCATCCCCAGCCTAGCCTCCTTCTTTGGAAAACTGTTTCTTTTGGCAGTTTTCCTGGTGTCCTATTAGAAATGTTTCTGTGTTGTGTAGCAGAGGTGGTGATGGGAGGAGACCCAATCCGTCACTAGGTTTTTCATCTGGGCTTAGAAATGTGTTGGCTGTTTTCCTGCATAATGTGTTGGTCTTACTGGGTGTCCAACTTCTTCCTCCTTCCCTGTCATGGAACTGAAGTCATTTCCTTTTCCAGCTATAATTAGGCCCTTGGTGCAGGCAGCACGGTCCCTGCCTTCTGGGCCAGAGTGTAGTCAGATTCTCAGGGGACTCAAATCACAAGTGGAGTCAGCTTCCAAGGTGGGAAGACACAGCTGGAGAAACCCTGGTCTGTTCATCTGTCTCTTCTCAAGTAGGAAAAGGGCTGTGTAACCTTAGGTGACATTTCACATGGGCTCAAATCCCTGTGGAAAATTCCATGATTCATCCTACTTTCCTCCCCCCCCCCCACAGCTAAATGATCAGACAGTCAGAACTCATTAATGAGAATTTTATCTGCTAGACTGTAGGACTCTGGCCACATCTGACTCATTCGACATTATATTCCCAGGGTGCAGCACCATGCCAGCCTGTAGTATCAATAGTCACTCAAGAAAAATTTGCTTAACAAATAGTTGAATAAGTAATATAAATATCCTTCTTTTGCTGCATCTTGTGGTTTTTCTGCTTTGCTTTAAATTCTGAGATCTCTTGAGACAGCCTTTGGAGACACAATAAGCCGTGATGAATAAAGGAATCGTGAGGAAGCTGGCTGGGGGCAGAGAATGGAGAAAGCAGTGGAACAAATAAGGGTCTGGTTACTTCTAGATCTTTTCCTCTGCCTCCACCCCCCAAGTGACTTTTACATGGTGACATCTCTCCCATTTACCACTGAGATCTATGTATTTACTTATAATAAAATTGAGCATTCACACCTTCACTAACATTTGTGTTTTTAAATGATCGATTATTCATCTATGGGCTCAATGTCTCCTCAGGGTGGTTAACATAATAATAGGGTATTTGTTGAATCTGTCCCCTTGAAAAACTGCACTTATGTTTACTCTTTTAATCCTAAGGCTATTATCATGGTGCCTTCTTGAAAAACCCCTTTGAGAGGCCTTGGAGTCTATACTTTGGGCATTCTCCATATTCAGATCCAGTTGGTGACCACATTTTAAAAATTTATTGAGTTTTCAGATGTCAAGGAAAGACATCTTGAATGGGACCTTGAACAGTCAGTGATGGAAAAGCTTACTGTTTAACCTATCAGCAACCCCTAAAGCATTTGCTGAGTGAACAGGAGCCCATAGTTCAGGGCTCCTGTTATTTTTCTATTTTTAACACAAAGATTGACTTTTACTCACAGAAAGGTACACACACACACCCACCCACCAATAATCTTACTGATGAAAATGGTTTTTATTTCGACTTGCAGCCAATGAATTCTTTGGGAATGTTTCTTTTAAGAGCCACATCGTAATTGTAAACTTC